AGAAACTCTAAATGTCCTCCATCACTGGGGCATCAGAGTATAAATAAGTCAGGATCATGTGAGTGTTGTTGTGCCCAACAGGAGCAGCCTATGGCCGAGCAGAAACCGCTCTGAAAGAGCTTGTGGAAATGAGCGGTCTGCCATTTCTGCCCACCCCCATGGGTAAAGGGGTCCTTCCTGATGATCACCCTAAATGTGTGGCTGCTGCCCGCTCGAGGTCAGCCTCACTTTTAACTATAAAAATGTGCAAGAATCAAAAAGTGTCCAATTATTTCAGCCAATATTATCATCATCATCCTATATGTGAAGGAAACATCCTGAACCTCAATTACTTTATAATGAATATACATCACAAAATTGTATGTCCACTTTATCACTTTATGTATATATATATATCAGGTTTTCAAGACTAAATGTAAACATGTTGGTTAGGATTTTAAAACAAAATCTACAAAATTCAATAAAATGTACACTACAAGCCAAGCTTCAAACAAAAGAGGATTTTGTGCTCTATCAATGACATAAGTCAATTAGCATTGTATCTCACGCCTCAGTGTACAATCTCACAAGCTTCTGTGTCACCTTTTTAAATTGCTGCAGAGAATTACAGGCGTGCCCTCTCATTCTTTCAGTAAAGCTTTGTATAACACCGTTGTACATGGTATTCAGTTTGTTTTTGTTTTTCCCCTTTTGTCTTAACTCAATGTTGCCCCACCTCCTCCTCCATTGTTTCTGCCACCAAGAGCTCTTCTACAGGCTGACGTTGTGCTTCTGCTTGGAGCCCGGCTGAATTGGATCCTGCATTTTGGTTTGCCACCTAGATTTGACCCTGATGTGAAGATCATCCAGGTATGTTAATGACCAAACAAGGTGTGTTCAATTTGTGATGTTTGACACCGTCAAAAAATAACCTTAAAGAATCCTCACTGGTATAAAGCTAATGGTGTATTTACATGCTAATTTTAGCATTTAGTGCTGTAACAACATAAGACAACTGTGCTCTGTATGCAGGTTGACCTTTGTGCTGAGGAGATTGGAAACAACGTGAAGCCTGCTGTTGCTCTCCTGGGAGACATCAATGCCATTGTCACTCAGGTACTGTAACTGCAACTCAGTCGGCACACTCACATTTTTTATTGTCACAATATCCTGATGTGCATTAAAGATGTATTATAAAAGAACACATTGTGTGTGTTTGCGTCTTTTAAGTCTTTGTTGCTGTTGTTTTCAGCTCCTGGAGGGTGTCCGTAAAGATGGCTGGAAATATCCCTCCGATACAGAGTGGTGGAGCACACTGTCGGACAAAATTGCTGCTAATGCAAAAATATCAAAGGTGGGTTTAGGGTGATATGTTACTGGATGTGCATACTCAAACTTCTTATCAGTATGTCATATGCCGATGTAAATAATTGTATGCAATATGCATTTTCACAAGATTTTTGCCCTTCTTCTATCCACAGGCACTCGCTCTTCAGTCAGCAGTGCCCATGAACTACTACACAGTGTTTCATCACGTTTCCCAGCTGCTGCCACATGACTGTATCATTGTCAGCGAGGGTGCAAACACAATGGACATAGGGCGCACTATGTTGAACAACTACCTACCTCGACACAGGCAAGACAGTTTGAAGCACTTCTCAATTGTGTTGAAGGACCAGTGTGTAGGATTTAGTGGCATCTAGCTGTTATTGTTGTGTGATTATCAATTCATAAAAACATACATATTAATATTATATTACATTTCTGCCAAAAGAGCCTCCTAAATGTTACACACTGGACCTTTTTATGTATGCTTTGTATGTATTAAATCACAACTATACACAAAAATACATCAATACATCATGCTTAAGGGAGTTATTAGAAAGGAGCACAAGGCCAGGAGCTTGAGCAGGGGGCTGGATCAACACGTAGGGGTTTCAAACAAAAACTGAAATGTCATTGGATATAAATTGAGTGTCTCTTTTAGGGTTAAGCTTATTGAAATGACCAGCGTATAGCAATATGTACAAGGCTGTGAACAAAATTTAGGCTCATCTAGTATCAGACAATTGTGCCACACTCTGCAAAAATAGCAATCTTTTAATTAAAAAATGTAAGCTTTTGTAAACTACTATGATGGTAGATGAAAGCTGGTGCTCCAGGCAGCTAAAACCTCATACTTTCTCCTTGTCTGATGCAGAAGTACAAACCCTCAGGGAGCTGTAAACTCTTTCACATGATCAGGAGCACTTGTTCCAAATGAGCAGTATATTAAAAGGTGTATTCACAGCAGATGTGCATTTTACAATAATTATTAACAACCACTGTTGACAAAGTGTTTAGTAAGCTTTTAAGTCTGCACATTTTAAGAGATTGTTATTAGCTAATCCTGACCATGTGCAGGTTGGATGCTGGTACATTTGGAACAATGGGAGTAGGCCTTGGATTTGCTATAGCAGCAGCCGCTTTGGAGAGGAGTGAGAACAAAGGCCAAAGGATAGTCTGTGTGGAAGGCGACAGTGCCTTTGGATTTTCTGGCATGGAGGTTGAAACTATGTGCAGGTACTTTGGTTATCTCCCTTTCTATACAATATATACATTCCTACACAATACTGCTCCTAAATTACGCATCGTCTCTGTGTTTTTAACAGGTATAATCTACCTGTGGTCATCATTGTGGTCAATAACAATGGTATTTACAGCGGAGTGGATCCTGACACTTGGAAAACAATGGCAAAAATGGGAGATCTGACCTCTATGTGAGTCACACATTATTGGGCATATGTTCATATTACATTTGCTGTCATGGTTTCCTTCATGTTATTAACTGTGAAAGGTGTCCTACGCCATCATGATGCTTTTCAGAGCCCCACCTGTGACCCTCCTACCTGAGGCACGCTATGATGAGGTCATGACAGCATTTGGAGGTCGCGGGTTCCTGGTGAGGACGGTGGAAGAGCTACGCAGTGCTTTGCAGCTTAGCTTGAGTGACTGGGAGAGGCCAAGTCTGCTAAATGTGCTTATCGACCCCTCTTCGGACAGAAAACAGCAGGTAACTGTCACCAGTCAGGAATATATGTGTGTAGAGTCGTACGAAAGAATCCACTGGAGTCATTTGAATGGCTCCTCTGGCTGTAATGACAGGATCTTGTGGAAATGTCATGCCCCCTGGTGGTTGAGGATGTAATTAATGCAGCAACGCATCAATTCACCTTTCTGTCATTTTTTCTCAAACAATGGTCAATGACCCGATCCAGGGTGCTTGGACTGCATCTTGCAAAGGTGAAATATGAATGGTTAATTGGGTCCTCATTCAAAAGGAGACATGGCATCTCCTCCAAATAAATGTTGAGGCTGGCTGTCATTAGAACACGAATAAGCCATTCGGATTAATGGCAATACACATTTTAGTTTCACAATAAAGCAGTATTTCCACTACATGGTACGGCTCAACTGGACTTCATTTTCCACTGTAGATTGTACTTTGGATAGTACCCCCTCACATAGGTTGAGCTGAGCATCAGAGTGATGTTATTCCAGCAGTTGGGGAAACAACAGGCAGCTTTGCTTTGAGCAGCTGCAGCGTTTCTTCACTGACACACTGCAACCTACGCTGTACATTTACTGCCAGATTGACAACTTCACTGCTCTCTTTTCCTCTGCTCACATTCACCTCTCTCTCTTGCTCATCCCCACACGAACTACACACACAAAAAAGAACTGCTAGAGGACATGAAGGGATGGTTTTCATGAAATGTCTGCACTTTTTCAATTGACCACAGCATTGTTTTTTAGGGGAATAAAAATAAAGAGAGTCAGGACTAAAGGGTCAAGAACTTGGCATTGGTCATAAGGATTGAGATCTTAAGTCTTATCTCATACCTAATTTCATCCCCTTGCGGTCCGGTCCCCTTGCAGACATGAGGTGATGACAGTGAGCACTTTATACATGTGACATTATAGATAACCTTTTTACCTGGTTCCCCCTTCAGAAGGTAGAACGGAAAGGAGACTTGAATGACCCTGACAGTCGCAGCAGTAAAGCCAGGCCTGATTAAAAGCAGCAGTGTTTCGGCTCATGGTTAGTATATAGAGCAACAAGCAGCTTGGTGTTTACTTTACTCTCGCCTCATCCTTATAGGGATACATGACTGACATGCCTCACTGAACAGTAATCCATACAGTCCAGGTGCACCGCAGAACTGTTGTATTCCACTCACAATCCCTCTACCTCGCACTAACCTGACCTTTCTATTTCAGAGTCCCCATAATTAGAAAGCTTGGCCCTCTGTGTTTATGTTGAATGTATCCATGCAACCCTTTGCAGACATGTTTGAAGGTTGTATTGAGAGCTGTAGCCATGGTGCTGAGCTCTATAGTTGCCAGCAGAAAGAATTGGTCAGGTTGCCCCCTGACTGTTATCCATATTCAGGTTTAAAGTTGAGTCCTAGATAATGGATTGAGATGAACCAATTATTTTGTCTGGCACAACTAAATGTTTTGAATGTGGAGACTAAATGGACTCACCATTACATAAAAGAGCTCTATCATCTAAGGAGGTCTAATATAATGCTGTGTTGTCTGTATTTGCAGGAGTTCCCTTGGCTCACACGCTCCAACTTATAGACTGAAAGAGGGATCTGCTTCTGCCTCCGTCCAGAACAATATCAGAACAGAAGTGACGTTTTTTTCTCAGGAAACTCTAACTGGGAAATCTAAAGCTTTTGTTTTTTGTGATTGTTTCCATGAAATAACAGAATATTTTTTTATTGATCCTTGCTACACAGTAGTATTAAAATTAACAAAATGATTGCCATATAACATTTTTAAACATACAATGAACGTTATTTGTCTGTATTTCTTTATGTCATATGTTTTTTCCACATAATAAATCTAGGTATAATTAAACTAATACAATGCTGTGAAAATAATAATGTCATTTTATGGTCAGCTCAGTCCTAAAAAAACAGTTCTGTCTAGATTTTTTAAATACATTTACACCCTCCTTCAGATTCACACCTTGTCAGGAAAAACAACAAATGGATACATTTTCAGCAGCAGTGACAGTTTTGTACAATATCTACTTATTCTTTTATTTTAATCCAGTGAGTGCACAGTGCGATCCATTTGCATCAGATTAATGATTGTGTATTAGTTTATATCACGTTGCATGACTTACTGACCTACTCAGTCTCTTGCAAAACATAGACACATCATTTTCATATCACTTTAATTGAAGCACCGTTGACCACTGATGTTGATGTTGATATTTTATTTTATAGCTCTCAGATCCCCCAGAGAGCCTTCTTGGAAAAGCAGACACTTAATTTTGTGGGGCAGACTTGGCAGTAAAACCAATCTGGCATGGCTAAATGGACACCACAGTGCACAGGGGGATGCACAGTTTACTGCATAAAATAGATGTACTAATAAATACAGACAAACAGAAGATACACTTATGAGAATTATCTCAGGATGCACAAGTGACACCTTCATGCAGAATCCTGAATATCTTGCTGAAAAGCCTACTGTGGGTTAGTCATGATAAGTATCCCTGAGAGAGGAGTGGAAACAATAAAAGGCACCCCCTGCAGTAGTAGAGATCTAATATTGGCACCCGAAGCAGCTGGCGGGCTGTCTCCTGTAATTTTAGCGCACACTGATGCAGAGGAAAGATTTAATGGGCATTGGTCGGCGTACCCTCTTCTGAGGGCGTGAAGGAGGCAGAGCAGAGTGGGAGGGGAGCAGGGGGAGAGGACAGTGAGGAGAGAGGGATAGAGAAAGGCAGTGTGTGAGGGCTTCTGTGGCTCAGAAATAAAGTCAGGCAACTATCTGGAGGAACATGACTCTTCTAACACTTGGACTGTATTTGCCACTGTGGTTTTGTTATGGCCTGGCTCAATCCTCTTTTCTGGACAGCTTTATTTCATTCCCAGCAGGTAAGAATGTTATAATCCTGATCCTGTATGTGTGTAGGGGTGTGTTTACTGTACTGTACCGTGCATACAGTACTATGCATGCACAGGTGTTGAGTGAGTGGGCTGTAAAAGCATGGCTATAAAATGGGTAGTTTTAGGATTCATTTTGAGCTTATTTGTGTAAAATGCACTTGTTTTTATTTTCTTGTCGCCCATGAGGTAGCCTGGAAGTGCCTCTATAAATAGCGAGACCAGCTCCAGTCCTTCAATGTGAGGCACAGTCACTTCATATCTGTGTCCAGCTCTAGAAACTGCTGGACGGGTGTCATGATTTGATAGTTTGCACCTGTTTCCCTGTTACTTACGCTGCTTCTGTGTGCTCTTACCTCTTTATATTTGTGATATTCGTTAGCAATGTGGCACATTGTATGTACCACAGTTACCCGTGCATGTCCATGTGTCATGTGTTTAATGTTACTCTTCTTATTTTGATCAAGATTCATATTCAGTTAATGCAGAAGTTAAGACTAACACATTAGCGTGACCTCTTCTGACTGTCCTCCTCTAATTTTGACACCTGGCATCACTGCCTGTGTGACTGACTGCATGCACACCTTGCACAGCTCTCAGATCCCAGGAGCAGCAGAGGAGATTCAGCCCATGCTGTTTACTGAGTCCGCCTCCACCCCCACTGATTCCTCCACCCCCTTCACTTTGGCGCTGCCACGCTCATGTGAGTCAAAGTCATGTGACTTTCTATTGTGGAATATCTGTCTGTTGATATGTCCTTGGGTGATATCCAAACTGCCCCACACTTACTGCCTTTTGACCTCTGAATGACACTGTTAAAACACTCAGATAGTGGAACACGTTTGCAGGAAGAAATGGCTTAACAAGTCCTTTGCTGTGGGTTCTGAGTTGTTATGTCAAGAACATAATCACATAATCAACACCATGAAAATCGTAAAGGTTTCATTCTGTTGATTCTCTTCTAGCTAGCATTTGTCTGTAAAAGAAATGCTTTTTAAAAATGTGTTTTTATTTTCATTTTATAGAATGAAGACACTTCGCATTGTGGTGGGGAGTCAGAGCAGGGCAATGGGGATAATGGATCCACCTGTGTCCGAGGCCCTCGTGGGCCTCCTGGTCCCCCTGGCGTTGAGGTAGGATCCAGACTCTTCCGAAACCTTGTGGTTATCCCAGCATCAATAATGTACTGTTGAACGGCCACATTGGCATTGTCATTACACAATTCTGACTTACACAGGATCCACTGTCAGTATGGTTAAATCACAGACTATCTCTGTTTCATGTTGGGGTCTGCATAGTTAAGAATTAGTACTCCAACACTATATTACCCCTATCTCTTCTACAACTTGAGAGTTCCTGCAGAGCAGGAGATGGGGATTTCTCTGGCCCTTGCAACACAGCAGCCCATTAACGCTCTACATTTAGCTCAGACACAAATAGCCTTTTTCCACTGCCTGCCAGTGAGCCACACATCATTCTCAGAAACTGTCCGAAGAGCTGTCTGCCTGGAAAGGCATACTGGGTTGCGTAAATTCCAGGGATTACCAACACAAGCGTGTGTTTGTGTACTCTGGTGATTGAAAGATGTTAAGATATTTTGGTTCAGTAGGTGCTTGTAAACCCAACCTCCTGTTCTGTTAGCCCAGCATTTCACAAGTGAAAAGCATATTTACCAAATGATTGTTAAAGCTTTGCCCGTCTCAGGCTGTTACAGCATTAGCTGGACTGCAGCCGCATTTCCGTATATCAAAAGAGACCCACAAGGCACTTTTTAAATCAATAGTGGCCACTCAGCCTTTAGCTAATTGAAACTGCAGCTTTGGGCTTCCAGAAGCGGACATGACTTTGTGGTGGGATGTTGTGGACAATAAAACTAATTTAGATAGATATCTCTGTGATTTATGAGCATATGCCATTTTTTTAATGTTCATCAGGGTCCTCCTGGATTACCTGGGATAGGAGGGCCCAAGGGAGAAAAGGTAAGCGGTTTAGTTCCCCATGTTCTAGTCTCATCTCATTTATGTTGCTCATTTTACATTTTCCGAGCTACTCATTATTGTGTAAGCTAAAGTATAATTGACCTGTTGCTAATGACTGAAAGATGCTTGCTGGAAGTGTATTAAATAACCGCTGTCCTTGTCCCCTCCTCCGCATCCTGTTGTCAGGGAGAAATCGGAAGACCTGGGCAAAAGGTGAGAGTCTCCATTAATCACTCTGTATTTCTGCTAAGTGGATTTACTCAAAAATGAGATACAGTGCCTCCGCCTGCTCTCTAGCTGTAGCTCAGAGCGCTGCCAGTGCCTGGACATGTGCATCAAGAAATTTTGAGCATCTACAACCTTGACAGGAGACAGCACAGCCATACTGACAAGATACAAGGGGCGCAGAGCTGCTGAGATGGGCTGTTTTGATGGCAGAGGGAGTTAACATGCAGGTCTCCTCTCGCAGAAGCATATTGCCTTGCAGTTGACCCCTCAAAGACACCAAGCATCATGCCTCCCTGTCAGATGGACCTCCCTCTCTATTAGAGCGCACACAGCTTTATTGGAAGCTCAGGACACAGTGTTTGATCGGGGCGGGCGGGAGAATAGTGACCTCCCTAAAATAATCAGTCACTGTGGTTGAGCAGTAAAAGCGGCCCAGTGGGAGAGCTTCAACTGGCTGGTGGCCTGACTGAGCAGCTTTGCAGCACTGCAGTGCAATTTAGCTTAGTGCTTCAGCCAGGTCATAAATCATTTTATTTCCCACAAGCACGGGCTCCTGTTCTATATACAGCCCATCATTTAATTAAAGAGAGCAAAGTGACAGGGCTCGTTAAAGTCATTCTCCCCCTACATGTGCAGCAGTGTCTGATAAATACTGTAGCAAGCAGGCTGTCAGCTTATGCAGCAAATCCTGCACTTAGATTTATTTATTTTTTTACCTTCAAAGCAAACAGGCATTCATTTGCACTTAACTGCTTCTTCAGCTGTGACAGCAGTTGTTTTATTTGTATTTTATAAGTTACTTCTGTATGTGAAATGATGTATTAAAATTGATGTCTCCTGTTAGGGCCGGACAGGTCCTCCTGGACTTCCTGGGAAGCAGGGACCAGCTGGATGGCCAGGACCAAGCGGGCCCAAAGTGAGTAAGTCAGACCTCATAATGTAGATGATGAATAACGTATATGAAGTGACATGAGACCAGTAGGTGCCCATATAAGGTAGTGTAGACGAGTATTAGCTATGTGTTGATTGCCATTTGTACAGTGAAATACTTAATAATAATAAATACATGTTATGTAACACGAAAACAACCTTTTCTATATAGATGCTTCATTTAAATGGTACAAGGACCTTCTGAATTCGAAGTCCACACTCTTAATACTCTAATTTCTTACCAATGCATATTTGTCTTATTTCTATGTCTATATTTTTCTCTGTCAGGGTGAGAAAGGTGACCCGGGGCTGATGGGTTTGCCTGGAGCCAGAGGACCAATTGGGCCAAGGGTATGATCTACATTATAAGCTATACTGATCTGAGATGATCTCACGTTCGAACAGCTTTATTTATCTTGGATATTTTGTATCTTTGATTCTTAATTTTAGGGTTTACCTGGGTATAAAGGGGAAAAGGTATGTGACCGTAATTATCATTCAGTAGAAAGTGCAACAAGATATATTAACACCACATGATTAACATCTTTTTTGTTATGTAACACACTGTAATCTGCTCCTTCAGGGTTCTCGAGGTGATCGTGGTGAGAGTGGAGTGAAAGGCGACAAGGTGAGCAGAGTTTATCCCTGGGGTTGTTGCAAATGAAAGTAGTAGCACTATAGTGCATATATGCTGTATGTAATCTAAGCTGTTATTATAATTTACTTTTCTTTATCCACAGGGTGCAATGGGTTTCCCAGGAATGCTTGGACAGAAAGTAAGAAACACATTCAAACAAGGACTTTTTTAATTTGTTGCACAGAACTACAGCTTTCCAAATTTGACCAAATTGAATGTTGATTTTATGATTCGTTGTGCAGGGTGAAATGGGTCCTAAAGGAGAACCTGGAATCTCAGGAAACAGAGGACCCACTGGGCGACCAGGGAAGAGAGGCAAGCAGGTAATAACAGCAATAATGGAGATATATTTGTGCTTCAATTTTGAGTGTGCAATGGGACATTTTACATACAGTACAAAATTAAATAATTATTTGTGTGTTAATACTTTCTCTTCAAAATGTGATTCATGTTAATTAAAAAATCCTCGTCCCATTGCTCATTATTAGTTTTTATCTTTTAATCTGTGAAACGTGAAGAAATGTTAAATCTGACCACCTTGCGTATTGTTTTGTTTGTGTTTCAGGGAATGAAAGGAGACCCAGGCAGTGTTGGTCCCATGGGACCTGCTGGCCCACAGGGACCTGCAGGCCATCCTGGCCCTCCTGGTTCACCTGCCACAGGTAAGAACCTTTTCCATTTTCCACCAGAGCAGATTTCCCAACAGATTTGAACTCCTGAGGATAGTGATTTAAAAACTGACACATTGCTCAGTCAGAGATGTCCATTTTGAAGTGATTGCTTTGTGTGTTCCTTTGCACTTCCTCTGTGTGAAAAGCTGTGCTACCAGTAAGAGGAGTAGCAAACACCCCTGCCAAAGGCAGCACACTTTAGACCAGTGTAAGAGGTAACACCGGTAGTCTTATTTAGCACCAGAGAAACCTTATCTCCTGAGGTGAAACAAGATGCTGTTGTCATGACATCATAGGACTGAAACGGATTCACAGATGGCGAGCCTCCCCACAGTTTTACAAGTGCTATGTCACCAGATAATTAGGGTGACATCTGTTATCTTCATCAGGTTTCCCAGTGAATTAAGTTGATCGTGTTTGCTTCTTGATAGATGAATCAAAGATACTACATTTCATGACATACAGTATTTATATGAGCTACTATAGCCTGTGGTCTTTACACATAACCGTTTAACATTTCAAATTAGCTCCCTAAGTCTGAAATAGTGTGTTATTTGGCACTAAACTTGTTGCTTCTGCTTGCCTTTTTTGCTCTTTGATTTGCTTTGTGTGTTTTTATATAATTATTTTTGTCTTTGTATATGTTTAGGACTATACATGGTTGGAACTAAGGGTGCACGTGGCCCACCGGGGCCTCCTGGAAAGTGTACCTGCAGCTCTCTCGGTAGTTCTCCATATGATGATTATCCTTCCAGAGGAAACTATCCCAGAGTACCAGCGGTGAGTAATTAATAGTCTTGTCAAATGCAAACCGTTGTGCACAGTGTTTTTATTACTCCAACTCAAATCACAATTAAAATGTTATGGGTTTTTTATCAAAATGTGTTTAGAGTATGTAGGTAAAATCTCTGATATAACTACACTACACAATTGGATGTGATTCTCACTTATTCTTTTAGAAACCCCATTTAATAAACTTTTGAGTGAGTTATGTAAAGATAAAAAGTTTTGAAAGATAAACATACGCCTACCAGGGATATAGATATTGCTTTGAGCAACATATTTCCAGCTGGGATATTACATTTTGATGCTTAATGTCTAAATATTCCACTCCAACAGGGCTCAACCTTATAATTCAAAATGCAGTAAAAATTGAAAATATTTCCTCACTTTGCCTTTTGTTCAGATATTCGTTGTGAGCAATGAGGAAGAACTGGAACGCCTTCATACAGATAATGCTCTTGCATTCCGCAAAGACCAGAGATCTCTCTATTTCAGAGACATTGATGGCTGGCTGCCAATACAGGTATCATTGCATGCAGACAAATCTGATTACTTCAACTTATTTTATACACCTCAAGCAGTTTTTAAACTCTGTAAAAGACCTTTCCATTCCAGTTGACGCCGTTCCAGTCCATGGAAAACGCACCCGATGATGAAGGTTACTGTGGTGACGGGATAGTGCAGATTTCCAGCAGGGAGGAGTGTGATGACGGAAACAGAGTTGTCACTGACGGCTGCGTCAGTAAGTCACACGCCCACGTTAGGTGGTCTATAGTAGCTCCGTAGTTGTATTTTGCTGTGCACATATAATGTGACCCTTCCACCCCTGCTGTCTCCCCTTACCACAGAGTGTAAACACGCCTACTGTGGAGACGGATACCGTTATGAGGGTGCTGAGGAGTGTGATGGAAAGGACTTTGGATACCAGACATGTAATTCATATCTTCCAGGGTAAGCCCAGTATACAACTATATGTTGACAAAAACTCTTTTGCTGCATGAGAAGTGTTTTGTTGACATGCTAAACTGACCGAAAGACTGTTTCTCCTGTTATTTGCAGGTCATATGGTCACCTGAAGTGCACACCATACTGTGTTATTGACTCCACAAACTGCAAGTACTTCACCTGAGGAAGAAAGCTGGACAATGCAGCGGGATCCTCTGTGTGTTATTTGCTTGACACATAACAGGAATATTTTCATGCAAAAAAAAAATGCTCCAAGCAAGAGACTCTGAAGGTAGAGGCAGAAATTGATTCTATGATGAAAGAAAAAAAACAAAACACATATATATAACTCCTCTGTATTGCTGCTGAGATGCCACGTAGCACCCCGGAGTTATACTCAGTCAGTGGAGGTGAAAACCTTCACCCACATATAGGAAATGCACAACTGCACTCCGTCTTAACAAGCAGGATTTAAGACCGGCCTCCTCACCATACCTGATTGGACCGGAATCAGCCTTTGGATGCAACAGATGTGTGACAGCCATGCAGACACTTAATTAAGTGCCAGTGGGAGATGTTTCAGAGGAGCAGTAGCCGGGCCAGAAGCGTTTTAATCTTGACCCAGTTACTGTTGAGAAAGAGAGGCAGTAGGACATCCAGAGCCATGGCCTCAGGTATTCTACTGCAGTGGGAATGACAGTGCACAGCATTTGCATGAGACTGGGATTACTGAGACCATGACAGCAGCTGTCACTATCCAAGCATGTAACTCATCACTTCACTTATTATTGCCACAACAAGGTTTGTACTGTGTAGTCTCAGTATCACATCAAGAATTTCAGTTGTAAAAGTAAAAAACAAGGCATATGGTAAGATCAGTATGTATGATTAGGGATAGAGATAGAGGTGGATATGGTGCACTTGTAATATTTCAGTGAGACTGTTATACCAGGAGGCCACTACTTCAGAGGCCGACTTGGCTTGTGGTGGTACTGTACTTGATAGGGACATTCAGTCTAAACAAAGTTTCATAAATCCAAATATTTCTCAGGAACCAACAGGTAATGTAGCTCCACACAGCACCTTTCACAGGCAACCTCCACTACTCTCTTTGTAAATTAAATGGCAGTGACTGTACGCTGAAGCACACAGGTAACTCAAACAAGAGCTTTAAAGTATCCACAACGTGCAGTCCTCTGGGTATGATCGAGTTTCTTCCCTGTGCTTCAGTGAGAAATGAAATATACTGTATGTGAAGGCTTGAAACTGTTATGTTCTTAATTTTCTCACTGCACAGGAAAGGCTGGAATAGTCTGTAGCTGCTAAAAGGGGGAGGAATTTAAATTCCAGTCTGTTCTATGGTAATTACTGTATTTACTCTAATACCTCTTTATCCAGTCTTTCTGTCTTACAGTATATACAGCAACAGTGAAACTCAACCGTAAACTTAACAGTGTAGATGTAGTCCACTTAGTGTTAGCCACCACGGGTGAAAATGAATTTGTGCGATATAAGCTGACATTTTCCATAAGCTACTGTATGAGTCGCAGTGCCAAGGAAGACCTTTTCTCAGCCATACTTAGATGTAGTCAGGTGTTCAAATGTGATTCTTCTGTAAAAGCAATTGAAAGATGAAGACTGTTACTATATTGTCTCCGCATGCTTGTGATACCGCGCTAATGAGTGTGAAACGCTTTCCCTTTTGTCGAACGTTGTTTTGTAGATCACTGCATTCATCAGCATAGCAGGTGTCTTAAGAGATATCAGTCTTGCTCTGCCCAGAGTGTAGCTAAGTACTGTATGTATGACACACCTTATATGATAGTGATGAACTGTGCCACGCACAAAGCTGAAATACCTTTTGGAAACTGTGTTGAATGTTCTGTCTGTGGCCTGTGCTGCTGTGCTGTATTCTGTACTGTGTATGCACAACAATGCTGAAACATAACATGCATGTGGTAACGTACTGTAAGGCTTTATAAAATATAGTATGCACTGTGACTCGGATAGTGAAAGTTCATTTTGTTTCATTATTCTGATATGATTTATACAGTAGTTGTGGGTAATTTTAAAAAGAAATGAAAATAAAACAGGAATTGAAATCATTCAAAGCTTTTCGCTCTGTCTTACACACACACACACACATACACACACATCTTCAGACTTGTAGTCAGGGGTGTGTCAGCAGCTCTGATTTCTATCTGTTGTGAGCAGATGGTGACAGTGATTGGGCACTGTGCTAAAAGCCAATAGGCAGTGATAGAGATGCTATTGATGTTCTTTCAGAGCACTCACTGCTAAAAAAAAAAAAAAAAAGAAGAAAAAAAAGCAGATAGCTATCAAGTGGAAAAAGATGCTGTCAGCAGCTGCTTGCAAAGTGCTGTGTTAGACTAAATAGTAAACAGACCACACAGTGAACTCTCACTGTTTTCTCAGACAATGGCAATGGCTTTTTAGCTTTTCATTCTGTCTCGATGAAGCCCCTCTGAGCTGCCTGGAGATGTGGCACAGCGATACAAGTTGGGCACGGGCAGCCAGCCAGAGTTGCAGCAGAGATGTTTGAGGCTGGACTCAACCATATAACTGTATTAGCATGCCGTATTTCTTTTTCTAAATCACATCAGGACAATTTGTCTGCTCAGATGACCGAGTAAAAGCTTACCTTGGCGTATTTATCCCATCATGTGCATTCCCCTGACCAGGCCAATCAGATTTGTACCACAGATGTCTCAGTACAGCACTAAATGTCACTGGAGATGCAGTGGACAACCTGATTCAACTGCATTGTAATGAAAAGATCTGCTGTGCGCACTGAAGAATTTCCCAAGTGAAGTTTTCTATTTGTGGAGTTTGGGAACCTTGAACAGTTCTTAGTTACAAATTTACTTCTGAACTAATAGCTGTTTGATTTTCCACCCCTCAAAGACACAAGTCATGGAAGCTCAACTTGTAGGAAGCAGCATCTATCCGGAGCTCTCACAGGTATTAAGTTGATGAACTGAAATCAAACACTTTTTCCAACAAAAGGGGTTATTTTGGTGCAGGTTGGACGGTGTAGCATTACATTACTGCTGTGGCAGAAGGGGCGATGCAAAGGAGGCCACAGGGACAGGAAGCAGGCAGGCAGGGACCCAGCTGTTGGCCCAAGCCGAGTGAAAATCCCTGACCTATGGGCAGGAATGGCTGGTATGCAGAGTGCTGTGGACCTGGCAGAGGACACCCTACTGCTGCACATGCAAAACACTCACACAGACAGCAAAGTATGCAAAGGTGCCACTGCTGTTTACATAAATTAGAACAGAACACCTGTGCAGATTTACTATCTTTTGCTTACTCGTTGATTTGTTTAGTTTAATTGAAACGTAGAGGAGTGAGACTCAATTATACACCCCAAAAAATGGACTAAAATATAATCTGGGCTTCTGTCTGATACCAAATATAAACAACACATATTTGACTACAACAGAACTGGACACACACTGGGACAACTTAATTATTTATTATGTAAAAATCAAGTAGCTTCTTATATACAATCATAGAAAAACCAAATCAAATGTTTGTAATATTACAATAGCAAATTTTCAGGATTAACATTGGAATTGATCTACAACAGGACATCAACCTGTTGCACATATGTGATGTAAACCTGCCGCAAATGACTTACTCAAGAAATATTATAGTATGTATTTCTGTAAACTCAGAAGAAAAATTAGAATAAAGTTAAAAATACTATACGGTATGTCTTGGTAAAAAAGCCCTATGAGGATGTTCCTGCTCGGTTCGAATGGCTCAGTCAATCTATGGTCAAACCCTAACCTGGCTGGGAGGTGGAGCTGTCTTACCACTCATTGCTGAATCAACATAATCAAATATTAGGTACAGCTGTTAACAACACTCAAGTATATTTAGAACATTGCACGGACAAGATGGTAAAAAAAATACTGAAATCTGTAGAGAAGACTTGCTGAAGGTTACTGTTCATTATCAGTATGGAGAAGAAGTTGAAGCAATGTAATTTAACTTTCACCATCTATCCCCTTTAGGATTATTTATTAACTTGGTTAATAATATTTAGAGTTTCCATTGGCACCTATGTTACTTATTACCAAAAAAAACATGCAATCAATAAACATGCTCTATGGATACAAATGTCCATACATTCACACAAAAAGCTGGACTCAAATGATCCCCATGACATTAATGTGAACTTTATAACTTAAGACATAATAAATAGATGAAAATACATACTATGCATAGGTTTGTTCAGAGGAAGTCCACATAAATATTCAGCAGTTGTCAGTATTTTAACAGCTACACTGTACTATTTCATTCTTGTGTGTTGTACTGTAGGCAGCAGAGGCTAAAGCCATTCACATGACAGTTCCTTTTTGGTCCCATGGTTAAGTCTCTAGAGCAATAGCTCATAACATGTTAGTAAAACCAACACACATTGTCAGCCTGCAGGATTTATATTAAAATTTCAGGGAAAGAAACATAATTAACTAAACTTCAACTGTCAGTGCAAGAAAACATGTTAACCTAATACACTAAAGGTTAGCCCAGTATGCAATTCCATCACATACTGAAGGCATATATTAGGTAATGTAACAATATTACTTTCTTGTGTGTTAAATAGCGCTTTGTGTTAGTTACAAGTATCGCCCTGTTTCATGGATCCAAGGAAACAGGACAATCCGGAGATTAAAAATTTCTTTGCAGTTCAAGCACAAATTATCTTCCAGTAAAGGTACTAGAGCCAAATACTCTGTGGTCATGTACCTTAAAAGCCACTATACTGACAAAATGTGCACCAGAAACAAATATCACCATGAATCATTATGGTTGGAGTCTGCATAATAGGGCTTAAAACCCCTACACTGTCAGGGGTCTTTTAAACAAGACCCAGAAACTACACTTTGTCAAGCCCTAATGTCTTAACTATTAATTCTTACTTTGCCCCTTGTGGGCTCCTAAATACAGACATTAATACCTCCTTCAAACCTAGACCCTCTATTGTCGTAGAGTTTAACAACCACTGGAAACACCTCACACTGACGCGGGACATGCTCACACTATTTTGCACACGAGATGCACCTGATGCATCTGGCACCTTCCTTCAGCAGTCAGCCACTACTCTGCCCCTGCCATCAGGTTCTGTCTTTCCTTGAACTCGGATCATTTCTCTGTTCGGGTTTTCACACCACTTCATCCGACTCTAGGTTGTTTTCTTCATACAGGGCATCAAGGATGGCCAGCTGATTCTCCATGGCAGGCAGATACACTCCCAGGTCTCTGTGCATGCTGCTGGTGAAGCCGCTCTGCAGCTCGTCTCCCTCTCTCGTCACTAAGGCAGCACTGAAACTTTGATAAGATGGGGCAGCTCTCAGCGCCAGCTGGGAAAATAGGAGCATACAATAGTCACACTCCAACAACAGATGGATCTAAAAGGGGAAAAGCATTGGTGAGGGTAAGAAATACCTACAGCGAATACACCTCGCACGACCCAGCCGTGGTACTGCCGAAGGGTCTTTCCATAGGCATTATCTGGGTGAAGGAAAAGACAGAACGTGACAAATCTCAACAGTGACCATGCTTTTAAGTTCTGTGTATTTGAACTTTCTTTTGCAGACTGCCGACAGTGCACGTTAGAAATCAGACTCACATAATGCTCCCTGGATGTCTTGCTGTCCTGCATTGACCTCTGAAAGGAACTCCTTGAGGAACTTCAGCCCTCGTCTGAGCCACAGCAGAGCCTCTGTGGCGGAGTTGCGCACTCGGGCAACATCTGTCTGGATTTCGTACAGCACAATGGACTGTAGTGTGGGGAAGCTGTCGGCGTCTGACATCAGCTTCTGGTGAATCTTCTACAGGGTTAAAAGTCAGTGTGATATAGTAAAGAGATCCAGATTTTGTTCTTCTACTCTACACTTTTGAACAAATAATGAAACAAAACTATAAGTAATACATTTTAACAGCTCAGTAAGTCATTTGATCTCATGTACATTGGCAGAACAAGAAAAAGAGGAGTGATGAGCCAAGCGTCTGATTTTCAAGCTAAAGAAGAAGCACCACCAAGGGTCAAGCAGTATTGTACACAGCAAATGTCTCCCTGTGGTCATTATGTATTAGATCGTAAAATACTGAAGTTGATTTATCCTGTTTACAGTTACACTGTGTGAAGAGACTCCTTTAAGAACAGTTATGTGATCACTTCTTTGTAATTCAGTGAAATATGTTTTAAGACTACAGATCAGTAACATGTACACATACCTTGATATTTCCAACAAAATCCATTTTAACTGGTGCAAACACTGTGGATCCCAGCTTGTCTGAGAAGAGAAAATCCATGATCATTTCTTTGCTCCTTGTGAAGAAAAGATTCTGTTTTGTAACCTATTTTTTTTAAAGACTTTATGATGTAGTTGCTGTAAATAGTCAGTGCTGAACAATTCAAATGCCTTGTTTTTTGAAGCAATTATTGAGAGGTCAGAAAACTGTGAAAATCGCCGTTTGACTACTAATTTGAGGGGAAAATTAAGAATTGTGACACACTAGAAGACCTAAAATCCTGAGCGATTCTGAGCGTGTCTGGATCTGTGTCCAGATCTAATGAGAGAGATGTCATCAATTTGGGATGAAAACATTGGAGCACAGCTGGATCACTTATCACATTTTATCACATAAATTTACAGTCATTAATAGAGAACAAAGTTTTACATTTTAATGGGCATCTTGTTGTATTGCTTTGTGTTCTGTTCTAGTTTTTTTGTCAACTGCCTATCTATGTAGATGTGTAGTACACAGAGACAATATAAATCTGCTACACGATAGACTACAAAGAATAAATAAAACCACAGACAAAAAGGTGCAGAAGGAAATAATAAGGGCATGAAAGAAAAGGATGATAATGAATCCAGGACAGAAAGCTTCCACCTTATTAAGCACAGACAATGTGAATGACACAGCATGCACAAATTAGAAGAAAAATAAAGTTTTCCTTATAAAACATATAAAGGGTGAAAAGACCACATACTGTATGTGGCATCATAAAAAGGGAAGAACAGAGAGGCAGATTGAGATGAGGAGAGACTGAAAGTGACCGGCC